TTGTTGTGTGCCTTTATCACATTAACTTGCCTCCAGCAGCACGCATACGCCCTGGCAAACACAATAATCCCGGCCATGCCATGAAGCTGGACATCTGCTCTATTATTTGTATGTATTTCTTATTGTAGTGTTTCATACAATTTCTATTCATTTTTCAACTCCATACGCATTAGACGTACATATGTATGTAGCCTACAAGCCACCTACTGGGCTTGTGAAAACACATAGAGACCCTTTCCTACTGCTGTTCGATTCCTTTTGGGGTTCGGTAATTCGGAATTTTACTTGGAGTGTGGGTCAAGGTTCTTCGATTTTCTCGCCGCCAGCTGCAATGTCAGTATATGGAATACAAGCATACTCGCACATAAATTGTTTGTTTGTGTATGTTCGCTTTGTTTTGTTAGGCGTGTTTAATAGTTTAAGATTTTTTTTCTTTTCTCCACCTGCCATAATGTTTCTCATACGCAGTGGCATACGGTAGTCTTCATGCATACATTCATACATATGTACGTATGTTTGTTTTTATTGCACGTGTGCATCTATTTATGTGCTATACACTGTTAAATAACCCATGGCTTTGGAATGAAGCAATGTAAAAGGCATTTTCTATCTCCTTGGGGGTACCACCATGTTTGTATGTACATATGTATGTATGTACATATTTATGCACCAAACAAGCATCCCGAGTGAGTCATACGTTTAGCGCGCTTTTTTATGTTATGTAATGTTTTGATAAAATTGTCCCGCTGAATGTTTTTAAAAGTCGAGACGTATAAGTGTCCCGATTTTTCATATTCGTACCGATTAATTACCGATTTTTATTGTTTTCCTTCTTAATTTAACAAGAGTCTCTGGCCCAAAAACAATTTTTCGTACAAACATGACAGCACTTTCGTAGCCAGCATCCTTATTTTCTATGATCTTTGGTTATGTTTTATTCTATCAAATCGTTACTCGCGCTATATTGCAATCATCATTATTTTAAAAAAAAATTTTACGGTTTTTATAATTATTTGGTTTGTTTTTTTGTATTTTTTTTTTAATCAAATGATTCTAACTTGAATTTAGTGAAATTATAAAAAATAATACTAATTCTCTAAAAAAATTCGTTGATATAAGCTGTTGATACAAAGGCGAAAATATAAATAGGAAAGGGACATTTTAGTATTCTTTGGCTATTCCCCATTCGATTATTTATTGTTTATTATTTTTTATGAAAGTCTAACTTGTTATGTAACAGAAACCATGTAAATCAAACTTTTGTACAAAAACTTGCAAAATTCGAGAAAGTTTCATCAAAATTTTGTGCTTGTTACTTAGATTTCTTAGAAACATTATAAATATTTAAAAAATAGTAAAAAAAAAATAAAACTGTTCTGAGTAGCTTTTTATATAGTTCTAAGTATTTTTTTGTTTTAAGTAGAAAATGGTAAATTTTTGAAAAAATAAAAATTAATACTGTTCTGAGTAGCTTTTCAATAGTTCTAGAGTTCCTGAGAAAAAGTTCATTTTTTTGCTTCATTAGTTTCGAGACCGTTCTAAATACCATTTAAATTTTTTAAACCAAAAAAATACGGCTATTCTTTTTTCCATTCAAGGAGGTGAGAGCTTAACATTTAAAACATCTTTTTGGACCACCCTAGTGTACATAAATATGTATCTGCATATGTTCATAGTGTAGGTTTGCAATTCATGTCTATTAAGTTTGCTTGTTGTGCAAAAAGTAGAATTTACTGCAACTCTTTTCTGCTCCGACTTCACCTTTGAAACTAACATGATGTCCGCATGTATTAAAAAATATGTGTGTATGCAATGCATATATGTATGTATGTATGAACACCTCTAGTTGGCGTTTGTTTACTGTGCAAATAGTAATTGCAAATATTTTAGCATCTCTTTACGGACACGTGCCATGTGTATACTCGTGTCCTCGTCTGTTTATGTGTTTTCTTTGAGCACAGGTGCAAATTTTATAAATAGTTCATATCTAGGTTAAGTATTCTTATACATATATCATTCATTTGAAGGTCACTTTTTCACTTAATTTATTATACATGATTGCTTTAAGTGTTTTCTTTTTCTAATTAACTTTTTCTTCTAATTGCAGGTGAGCTTACTAGAATTGCTTACTCACTAAGTAATATGCAATATTATCGTAAGTATTTAATTATTTATACCTGTATGTGGATCTCTGGAATTCGAAAAAATGCATTTCTGGTCGCATCTTTATAAAACAATCCTTATACCATGTTCAAAAAGCCAGCTGAATTGGGCAAATTTAATTTTAAATTAAAGTTACCAAGTTTTGGGTTGACAGCTGATGATTTTACATTGCTCGTAAAGAAGATGAATACACATCAGTTCCAGCAAATTCACTTCCCCAGAGCTCGGTTTGATTAGAAGGAAATCAAATAAAAAGAAATTTAATATACTACGTTTCTATAAATGGACTAAAAAGTTGAAAGTAATTTTCTCGTAGATTCATAAAATTTATGAATCTTGATAAGCTTTCATTTTAAGATTTTAACAATAGTCATTATAAACAGCTTATTATATTATGAGATTTAAAATAAAAATGTATTACATCCGTACTTGATTAAAATAATTAAAATACATTTTTAATAAAGAATTTTTTTTTTCAAAAATTTACCCAAAAATGCGCGAAGACTTTATATGTGGCACGATATTTGTTTTCCATTTCTGTTTTTAGCCCTTGATTTGGGGCTTCAGTCTTTGATCTTGGTTTTAAATTTGTATGCTCAGTTTTGAGTTTACAATTCCCATTTTGGATTTGACTATGACTAAATTTTTGACAAGGATAAACTTTTCAGATTGTACGGTAAATTCAAGTTAATGCAGAATAGCTGAGCTTAAAATGAAAGATTTATATTTTTTTTTTTAACATCAAAACTACTAAAATTTATTTGACCCAATTTAGTTGATTGTCTGAATATAGCATAAGTGTCAACGTTGTTATCAGAAAAGTAAGTGAATTAATTTGAAGTTAAATTAAATTGATGTGCTTGCTATGGATTAAATCTATAGATATATATATTTTCTCTGTAAATAAAATCGTGAATCTAACCATTATTTATAGTACTAACAACTCCGAAGCTGCGGCAAATCGGTAGTGTTTAATATGCAGGCGTCATAATAAATAATGCTTGGACAAAGATAAAATTGATTTATAACGATTATTTTTTTAATATTACATATTTTCTATACATCGGTGCCTGAAATACAAAAAATCCGTAACTAACAATTTTTTTTTTTACATACAATGATTTGCGGACTCGTAATTCTATGAAATGCATAAAATGCAATGAAAAAGTGAATTTGTATTTGTAGTTCGGCCATTTTCATTTCATGTGGCACTGTTAGTTACAGTTTTTCAGGTATTTCAGGTGACGATATTTTAATATTATAATTTTCTTTAACCAAATTTCTACGTACCTAGAGTGCATCTAAAAGCATCATCCCCAGGACTGAGCTGATTGAAAATTAATTCTTCTTCTTTTTTTACATAGCTGAGAGAAAAGCAAGTGTATAAAAAAAATGATATTAATTAGTCTATAGCTTGAAAAAACATATACGTTTCGTGTCCACTCGTGTTTACAAATTTAGTATTACAGTCTGAGTTCACAATGCTTAATTAACCGCTGGCAGGCGTTCAACTATCCATTTTCCCCCCAAACAATAAAGGCTTATTTGTAAATTAGTGCTAGATTTCAATTGTTTTTGTGGAAGGAAATGGAGACTTTTGTAGAATGAAATTAATTTTACGGAGGACGATATGAATTTTTATTGTTAACTATGTATTTACATTAGAGTGCCTCACCAAAAAAAAATTCGGATTTTCTCCCACACTTTGTTATATTCTAAGACTTTCGATAAACGTGTTTGGGAAAATATTAAGATTTACGTGAGCGGGACCGATCTTAATTTGCCTCAAAAAATTTCATTATTTTGATTTCGTTGATACAATTTTTTAAGCTTAAACTCTTCTATCATCTGAACTGATTTTCGGGAAAAACAGTTTCAAAAATTAATTTTATTAATAAAAAACTTTTGGGGATAATTTTCAGCTCGCGCAAATCGTAATATTTGGCGGAAGCCTTAGAATATATTAAATTTTATATTTATCACTTTTGTTAGTGTTACGTTAGTAATAGTTTGACTACGCATCGTAATTTGGGTCTTTGATGAAAAAATTTTGTTCATAACTCCGAAATATGTATGTATGTAGCCATGCCCACGAACCCGCCTAAACCAAAAAAACACAAAATCATGATCTTTCAATTTTTTAATTATTATCTGCAATTCTGTGAACGTAAACTATTAGCGGATATGTTTATATTACAAAAAAGTTTTTAAAATTATTATTATTTATGTATGTACATTAGACTGCATCACTCCTACATTATAAAAAATGGGTACTGTTTTTCCATTGGAATTATAAAATCTATTATTTTTTAAGGCTTGTGCCAATAAACAATAAATATATGTAATAATCTTCACGTCCCAATTTTTAAATTTTATATGTCTAGGCCGATTTTTTAAGCTTAAACTGTTTTGTCATCTGAGTTAATTTTTTTTCAAAAAGTACTTTAAGAAACTAGTTTTATTCATTAAAAAAAATCCATTTTTGGAGGTGTTTTCAAATCGGGCCAGTTCACGTAAATCATAATATTTTTCAGAAAAATTCTGGCGTAAGTCTTAAAATATAATAGATTTTATAATCCCGTCGGCAAAACAGCCACATTTTGATGATGCAGTCTAATGTACATATGTATGTATATTATATAGTTGCGTCCGGTTTTTTTTTGTTATTTCTAAGCTCAGCCAATCATTTAAGCAAATTTATGTTGGCCTCTTAACCGCTATTTATATCAACATTCTTTTATTCAAATATTTTCAGTTAATTATTTTAACTTTCTTTTTATTTGATTTGTTATATATTTTTATTTTACATCTTTATAATTTTTTTTATTTTCCTTTAGCGGCGCAAACATCGTTGATCAATTCCTCACAGAAGCAACGTAAGTTTTCCCCATTTTTTGTTTAATTATTTAGTTGTAACTGATATTTATTTGTATTTACATATTTACACTGCCGGCAAAAAGTATGGGCACAGCGAATTTTTCTCAATATATGCAACAATTTTTTTTCTAATATTTATATGGTTCATTCTACAAACAAAATATATTAAAATATAATTCCTAAAACTTTGTACAAAACTCACGAAAACTCAGCAAATTTTCAACTTTTTGACTAGATTTTTTACCTTACCTTTGATTTTTGGCAATTTTTTCGCGCGTCATTTCAGAAAAAATACAAAACACCTGCAACAAAAAAATTCTCAAAAGGCAATGCCTCCGAACTCGCAGTTTTTTACTAGAATTTAATGCTGCAAAACTGCATACTCGAAAAAATTCTAAAAAATTAAAATTTGCATGAAAATTTGCTGAATTTTCGGGAGTTTTGCACAAAGTTTAGGAATTATATTTTTATGTTTTTTGTTGTAGAATGAACCATACTTCTATAAAAAATTAGCGGAAAAATATTAGAAAAAAATATTTATGCATATATTGTGAACAATTTTCCGTGCCAATTTTTTTCGCAGTCAGTGTATACTTTTTTATTATTTGCTTAAATCTCATTATCACACATTCCCCAATTTTCCACTGCCTCATTTTTTTTTTTACAGAAAATGCTTGTACGAGTGCTTGCTACTCAAATTGTTATATAAATGTATGAATGTATTTAGCCCGGTCAAGTTAGAGGTTCAAGGTTACCATAATTCGCATAAAGTTGAAAATTGGTACGAGTGTTACGAACACCATTATGAATGAAATGCCAAAAGTCGCCATCGAGCCCACGTCTGTAAACAAATTTTATTTAAGGTCAAAGGTCATATAGGTTGGTTTTTTCTTTTCATTTTTCAGCAAAACGGTAAGGTTTGTCACAAAAATATCTATAAAAACCGTTATAACATTTTTCTTCCTAAGAATTACTATTTCTGAGTTATAGCGACTCAAAAAATTTTGTTCTCCATAATATGCATAATTTACACTGTACTTGTGTGGTAGTGTATTTGGCGCGGTTTCCACGGTAGGCCTACTGGACAGCTTATTTTAGTCCTATTTAACTAAATAATATTGCATAAAATAAAAATAGTACCATTGCAGGTGATGAAAACCATTTGAATTAAAAGTAATTAGAGAAAACTATTCATCTTATTGATAATTACACTAATTTACAAGAAATTCCAACTGTGGCACTAAACCATCACTTGTCATGTAAAATTTTCCACTGAATCTGAATAGTTTTTGAGATATAGCCAAATTTCGGTTTTTAGAGATGTGAAAAAGTGCATTCACGTAATTCCATATTTTCTTTTATATAGCTGGCGGATCTCAAAGTTCTTTCTACAGTAGTGAAGCACATTAAATTTACTATCTTCTGCATAAACGATTTATTCCAAACGGATTAGTAGTTTAGGAGCTAGACATTGATTCATCGACAATTGTGCATAATAATAAAAAATATATATATTAAAAAAGTTACTTTTGGTAAAAATATCAACATGAAAGAACCTGTTAACTTTTGGATTTTTGCACTCAGAGCATGATTCTTCATTAATACAATAAGGCCCTGCTCATCAACATAAATTGAATAATAAACTTAGAACTTATGAGCTTTTAAGTAGAGATACATATAAAAACCTATGAACAATAATTGAGCTTAAAAGTTATTCCAAGTATATTTAAACAAGTATATATTTAACAAGTTACAAGCACTACAGTTCATCAACATCTCATTGTCCAATCAGCTTTCTGGTATTGAGTTGTGATGAATGAAATCTCGCCTATTTTCAACTGGTGTTGCTGGGTCGGCCAATGCAGTCAGTGTATCTCGAATGTTGTCGGGATTAATTACGAGAGTCCCACACCTGTCTGCCTCGGTACAGGTGTTCCTCGCTGGATATCCAGCATGCCACACGTTCTTATCATGTTCGACCTTTCCAATACAGTCTAAAATCATCGCCATTACGCTAGGGACTTGATGGACGCGGTAAACAACATGGATGTCGGCAATCTCAGCTACTGAAGCTAAGTTCCACGTTGTGCATGTCCGCTCGTAGATGATTGCTGTTGCAAATCCAACTGCACGCGTAGTGATGGATATGGATCCAGCGCGTGGTTGCATAGTTGATTGAACTTGGCTTACAACTTGTGCAATCCTGTCATCCCGATCTGATTCAGTCAGACCGTATTTCGCTTCGATGCCCTTACCAAATGCGTTACGTTGCTGGTCATTCATGCGATTTCGGAAACCTTCAGTCGACCTTTTTCTTTACGTTTCCTTCCTCCTTTCTTTTGCTCCGGCTCGAAGGACCATGCAAACGCTTGGAGCCACGTAGCTCGTAGTTGCACCAAGGTTTTTTATTTTAAAAGAAAAGATGAGAATAACACCGTGAATTAATGCAATATTGATAAGTTTTAAAATGCAAATTCGGTGCTGCTTACAAATGATTTTGGCTTACAATATTACCTTGATAAATACGCAGCGGTGATGGCTGGATCGCGTCCGGTGTCCTTGATAGCTCGAAAGAAGTGACCGAGCTAATTCTTGAGAAGCTAAGTTGAAAAACGTTGACCTCACAATTTGTTCTTGATCTGCAGGAATAAGAATAAAACATTGGGTGCCAAATCAGAAATGTGCAGCAGATGACCCGACTCATCAATTCGATGTTTTTAATGCTAAAAAACTATATTTGTTTCAGCTGATCTATTGGAGCTTAAGTTGTTGTGGTGCAGAACAATTCGTCTTTTTTGCGAGCATTAACTTCGAGTAAATAGGTACGAACAAAATTAATTCTGATGGAAGAGAACATGCTAAAGAAAAAAATAAATAAATTAAATTGTTTATTCTCTAATTAAAAGTTAGTTTTCACTTGCAAACAATTTCCTTTTCCTGTCGACTTTTTTTTTGGAAATTCATGTCTTCACATTGCCATCGCCGCCAAAGCACATTCATAAAATGTACAAACTTGTCGAAAAGCGATAAAGTATATAAAAAAAAAAAAAAACCACCAAACCCGCTTAGCTGCAAGGCAAGCCTACAAAATGTTTTTCGTTGCAAAAGGACTTGCGGTTCTAACAAGATTAATGTGTTGTCGTCGCCCTCCATTTGCCTTTCAACTGTATAATTAAGTTGACAGCACTAGAGCCTAGTTGTGTTGTTGTTGTTTGTATATTTTATAAGCATTTCCCTTTTGCTGTTGTTAATTTACTACAATAACACAAAACTTCAGACATCCTGCAGCATTGGGTGTCACCTTGTGTTCTTCATTTTCTAAAGGCACGTGCAAATGTTGTTGCTGCGGGTGAAAATTATACTTACTTGCTTCTTATTTGCTATTTACCAGCGCGACATGGTAGTATCTAATGCCTGCTAACTTCAAACGAATATTATACAACAGCCAGTGCTTTAAGCTTTATGCTACGGTCTAGTGGTTGGTTATACCTGGATACTAGTAATGTTTGTGTAAACTTGTTTGTGTAGCTACCTTTTAATCTCTCAGACATTGTATTTAACGCCTTTTAGCAGCCGCTTTGGTATACTCAAGTTTAATGTAAACGTTTGCGCAGTTTTAACTTTTGAACTGCTCTTAAACTCTTCGGTTCATTATCTTTTTTATTAAATGCATGTATGTATGTATTTCAAAGTTCAACTGTCCTTGCGTATCAACTGCTGCTAACTAGTACAAAGTTTGTCGAAGCATTACCCCAACTTTCCCAGCGTGTAACAGATTATTTTTACAAATATGGAATATTTAAAATCTACGAAAATTTTATATACACTTTTAGGTATTGGAAAATGTTTTACTGGTTTTAATAAAAGAAAAGAAATACGCGAATACAAAAACCAAAAACCTTCTAGCTTTCTTTTTTATTTTACTGACTATAGCCATGTGTACAAAGTATTTTTACTAACATACATATGAACATAAATAAATGTGTGTACAAATTTAGCAAATGTGTATCCATAATACGATTAAAAATCTTTTTTTTTTTTTTTTTGCAAACCAGTAAAGCAAATGTTTCGAAGCATTTAGCAAATCTCAACACAATTCAATTTGACAACACGCAAATCCCATGTAATCTTTAAAATCAGTCAAGGTGGTCGGCAACATAAGCGGCGAGTGGAGCAGCAGCGAAAAAAGATATTCAAGTAAAAGACCGACATTAAGCAACCAAAGAAATAAAAAAAAAAAAAAAAGATGTTACATAAATCAGCGGAAAGCTATTCACGTCTTACCTAATCAGATTCAGGATATCTGTATCGTTGGCATCTGCTACTTTCCCAGCTGCAGGTTTCTTATGTACATACATATTTCTCTGGTTAGTGGCTGACGGTAATGTGAAACGACATTTTCCATTTCGTTCAGATTTAGATTAAGTGCTAAAAATATTAGTTTTTATGCGAAAAAGGGTAACAAGCAGAAGATGATGGAATTTATAAAGGGGAAGAGCGAAAAAAAAGCATGACATGCATAAATACTTAAATGAAATGCAAGTAAGCTTAAGCGACAATGGAAGGAATATTTACGTGCATAGATGTGTACATACATTTGTATATACATATATACATATGCATGTATGTACATATATAAATGCTTGCCCAAGTGCCATTTGCCAGATGTACTCTACACTCATGGCTTGGTTATAATTTTTAAGACAACACAAGGAATGATGGAGTAGCAAAATATAACCAAAAGCGAACAATATTCACTACTACTATTTTTAAATATTTATGAATTAACGCGTACCATATACATACATACATATGCACATACATTCATATGTATGAAATAGCAAACAAAGTGTCAAGTGATAATTTGTTTTATGCGAACAAAAAAGCGCTTTCAACGGAAGGATCATAAACACCAGTGATAAACAGATTTGTGAGTGGAATTAATGAGGCGCATGCAAACATAGTTAAGCGACACACGAATGACCTTCGACCATTAGCG